AAAATAAAAATAAAATGAATAATTCACTCTTCCATGTCGCAATAACGCAAGCCCGCGCTCGCTCACTACCTCGCGTTCATCGCTCTTCGCTTTGCCGGGACGGCCACGCTCGCCAGAGAGGTCAGGTCTGCTGCATAGGCTCCTGGTGCCGGTCATGACGTCCTGACGGTCCTGATGACGGCCCGCTGCACGCATGACTCACCGCCGCCGTGCTGGCGTCACCATAATGCGCCGCCACCCCCGTCTGTGGTGTCAGCGGGGGTGTGCCGCCCTCACGCAGACCACCCCCTACCCTGACCCCCCTCCCGGTCCACCTCCCGCCCCTCCTGTCGGTCGGGGCAGGTCGAGCCGCGCTCGCGTTAGAGAGCTTCTAGTAAGCCGGTCGGCTACCCGGCCTCAATCGGATCCCCGTCAAAAAAAGTAGTAGTCATAAGAAGTAAATATTATTTTAATTTTTTTAAATGTTGACGTAACCGTATTGTCTTATTGGGCGATTGGCTGATACTATGTACATTTATGATGTCGTGCAGAAACACTCGGGCGTCAGTTCCGCGCCCGACCAAGGCAAAGGCGATGCGTGAAAGAATGATGGTTGTGGCCGGTCGGGTCGGGCACCTCCCCTCTCCCACACCACACCTTCCACCCACTTACTCCCGCCTACCTGTGTGTCGTGCCCCCGCCCCCCTCCTTTTCCCCCGGAACCGGTGCGTACGAGGCGCGAGCCGAACCCTCCCTCTTTGCCCCGTGTGTAACCGTCAAGACGACGACGGCGAGGACGGCTCGGGAGAATGAAAAGGCTTCTGGGCCTGTACGGGCTGAGGGTGCCTTTGGGGTATAAAACAAAACTACGTGACTCAGAGGGTCCACCGCACGAACTAGCAGGAAAAGGGTGTTATCTCCCCGTGCGACAGGACGACGCGCGGCCGGCCGGTAGCGCCGCGCCAGCCGAACACCTGCCGGGCCTTGGGGCGGGGCGGGGCGGGGTGAGGCGGGGCAGAAGCAGCAATTGCCCGCGTTCGCGGTGAGCTGAGACAACGTATCGCGGATTAGTTCATCGAGCATAGGTATGCAGAGTACTTGTACCTCCGCCCCTATCTAGCCACAGCCGGCTAACGTTGTTGTGACACCAGAGGGTTAAACGCACCTGCATGCATGACGTCTACACATAGTATGAGACATATCCCTAATCGGCAGTTCGACACTCCTCCGTCACGGCGAGAAAGCCTCTGCCGTACAGCCGCCCCGCCCCACCTCCTGGCTGCGAGGCCGCGCCCTGTGGTACGGCCCTTACCGGGTGTGACCCGCGTCCATAACACTCCACACCTCGCCCCGCCCGCGCCTCCACTCACCTGGCCCGGGTCAGCAGGTCACTCGCGAGCACAAGCCTGATGATAAGACAGATGGTCGCGTGTTGGCCGTATGGTGGTGCTGCCAAACGATCGAGCACCTCGCGGGCTTCGAGTCCGGGTCGCATACTCCCTCCGTGATTAATTACACCCCCCCCCCCTTCCCCTTTCCCGCCCCGCCGCGGTTACGCGACCGTAAGGGCGTAACGCCACAGCGGCGGGGAGGGGAGGCCGTGTGGTGGTGTGTGTCCTTTATATTTATTGGGCGGACAATGGGAGAGAAATCAAGAGACGTAACCTGGGCGGCCCTCTGCGGCCGGGCGTTAACAGTGACATTCGGCCGTGGCGGCCTTCTCTCCGGACCGGACTCTGCCCCGCCCTTCGGGCTCGTCGTTAGGCCCCTTTTATTTCCCCTCCAACACCACCTTAGGCCCGCCTCCTTTTCTTCCAGCCAAAGTACCCAAAGTCAACGGTTACAATGTAATGACATAAATTATTACTGACGTGTGTAAAAGATGATGTAAAGAAAACACATCAACAAATCATTTCTTGTCACTGTGACTTTGATATGACTTTTTCTCGTGACGGTTTCGTGAGACTCGTGGTCTTCTTTGTGGCCCGGATGACTGCAAGAAGTGTCGCCGGGCTGCTCCTACCGGTGCGGCGGATGGTCCCCGGGGCCCGGGGTGCTTCCCTCTATAGCAAGCGCCGCGACAGTTGCACCCGCCGGATGTGTCGCGGGTGGGGGGCGGCAACGGCAGGAAGGAGGTCCTCCGGGATCACCTTTCGTCGCACGGGGAGACGAGTGCTCGCTCAGCCCGCCTTGCCCGTCGCCCTGGTACCGCGCGGAGCACCCACCTACGCACGCGGCCGCGCACGCACTTGAACAAGGCAGCGAGGGTCACTATTCTGGACTTGCCTGTGCCTGCGCTTTCCTCGGGGGGTGCAAAGGGTATGAGCCCAGTGGGGCCGCGACGTCAAAGTTGATTGAGACACGTTTCTCTGTTGTTGTTTTTTCCGTTTTTGTTTTTGTGTTTAATGTCGAAAATAAAGTCATGTTAGATCCATCTCAGCAACTTAACAAAGTCTCTGGTATGCTTATGCTCCTGGTGCTTCACCGGCGCTGTCGCTCTTCGTCACTCACCCTGTGGCTGCTGGTTGTTTTCCGCCCGAAAATATCCCAGTCCGCAGCGGGCGCCTCCTGTAAGATCACTTTGTAGTACCACGACCCCCCGGGTTCTAGACGGCACACAACCACTCGGCTGTCGGCGACCGGCAACCCTATCGCATTGCTCGACTGCTCCGGGTCACTTCACTACCACCACCACCGCCAGAGAGACTCCGATCAAGACTGAGCGCAGTGCTCGCCCTCGCGGCCCTCGCCCCTCGCCTCGCCAGCCGCAACTCGCCGGGCCGGGCCGGCAGGTGGGCGCCACGCCGGAGTGGAGTGGAGTGGAGCTCTCAGCTGTTCTGTTCTGTTGTGGGCCGCGCGGCCGCGTCGCGCCGGGAGGGAACTGCCGACATGGGGTATCGACCACAACCAGAGCGCGCTACACAGACAGACGGCTTTCATCGATTTTTGAGCGATTCGGTACGAATTAAAATTGAATGATTCGATCACGATTTTTGTCTAGTGCATCACTTCTTCCGCGGCATGTACCTATTGTTGACATTATTCTACCCCGTACGCTTGGCGAGCAGTAAAGTAGGGCTAACTTTAGTCGGACAGGCGAGAGACTCTGTCAACTCCACGACGCGTTACAGCAGGTTGCAATAGTATTCTTTTACCTCTCGCTAAACACACTGTTACATCAAGTACCAATCTTGACTAATCTGTAAGCCCACGTCACCACAAGCGCATAGTGGTTCTCAGGCGGTTTGACGACGATTCAACGATAGGAGGGCGTCTTCTTCGCACATTCAAATTTACCCGCCACTGAGCGTGGAAAGGACGTGTTTGCTACTGACCTCACGTAATGTATTTTATGTGTCGGATGTCGATCCAGTTAATATAGCCGTGAAGATACTTTCGGACCAATTCCTTTCTATTCTAAAAGTTTTAACTTTGGTCGCTATTTCCAGTGAGTTTGTTCAAAATATTGGGAGATCTGTCGAAGTCGAAATATCTTAGGTTGGCAACATGTTTCTTCTTCTTTACTTTTTCTGCCGTACTTTGGCTTTTGGCTTTAAATAGCTCTGAAAAAGAAAACTGTTTTCGTGAAATATACACCAAAAAGTCAATACGATTTCTTATTCCAATGGCAACTTTACAGCATAAGTTTCTTTTCCGAAACATTAATTCCGAAAACTCTTTAAAGTAATGGAATCATTTAAAATTAAATGCGGGGGCGTCTGAAGCGCACTCTGTGTGTGGCCATGTAAACCCTCCTCTGGCCCTGTGATTGGCTCCTCGCTCGCTTTCGCCTGGCACATGACCAGGACTGTTTCCGCTCTTCTGACTGCTGTCCTTCTGCCATACTGTCCGGTTGAGGTAAGTGGTGCTCCTTTACTGCACTACCAAGAAATATTGTGGAATGGCTTTCAGTAAGTCATTTTTGTAGTGGTGTGTGCTCGTTTGATTCTTGAAAATTTACTCTCTCGGAGGATACCAAAGTTTGCCTTCCGTTCGCGAATTTGAGCCAGAATTTCACTTTTGTTCCAGATCTTCTCTCCGGCCTAGCAAGAGTTGGAAGTCGGTTGAACATCTCTTCACAAGCACTTCTAAAACCAACTCTTCTACCTCATACCTTTAAAATGTAAGTACAACAAGATCTTCCGAGCAGAAACATTTTACCCTGCTCTTGGCCACTTCGTGCCTCGTAGGAGAAGCAGATTTCAAATTTAGAGGAGGTTATGTTCTTGCCTTCCATTTTTCATTTAGCTTTAAATTTTTGATCACACGTGGTCAATATCTCCTTCCCAATCATTAACTTCAACCGTCGCAGTGTGCGTGTTCAGTCGCAGACGATGTTTACGTTTTGCTGATTCTATGTACGAAGTGCCATCTGGCCATGCCTATTGCGTCATCGTTGTCTAATTGCACGTGTTTCGTCGCTTAGGTCTTTCCGTAACGGATCTTCTTACAAGCCCAGCGGCGGTGGTGGCTATGGAGGCGGCGGCGGAGGAAGTAGATTTTCTGGCGGTGACAGCGGTTACGGAAAGAAATCTTTTGGCTCTAGCTACAAAAATGACTTCGCCTCCAGGACAACTAAGCCAGACTTCAGCAACCTTACGCCTTTCGTCAAAGAATTCTACCAGCCACATCCTTCAATTGCCAGCAGGCCACAACATGAAATTGAGGCCTACAGAGCCAAGCATCAAATTACCGTTAAGGGAAAGAATGTACCTGACCCCATCATGAAGTTTGGTGAGGTTAACTTCCCAGACTATGTTGAAGCCCAGATCCTGCGTGAAGGTTTCACTGAACCTACCAGCATTCAGGCTCAGGGTTGGCCCATTGCTTTAAGTGGTCGCAACATGGTTGGTGTTGCCCAAACTGGATCAGGCAAAACTCTGGCCTACGCTCTGCCTGCAATTCTGCACATCAATGCCCAAGAGCGCCTGAAGCAAGGTGACGGTCCAATTGCATTGGTACTTGCTCCAACCCGTGAATTGGCCCAGCAAATTCAAGTTGTGGCCCGAGACTTCGGATCATCTACACATGTTCGCAGCACTTGCGTGTTTGGCGGTGCCCCAAGGAGGCAGCAAGCTTACGATCTCCGACGTGGTGTTGAGTTTTTGATTGCCACACCTGGCCGTCTCCTTGATTTCTTGAGTGAAGGTACTACAAATCTGCGCCGTTGCACCTACCTGGTCCTGGATGAGGCTGACCGTATGTTGGACATGGGTTTTGAACCCCAAATCAGGAAGATCATCGAGCAGATCAGGGTGAGTTTATCATACTTTATTTATATGATGCCTTGATGACCAATTTGTGTTGATACCCGTGATTGTTTCTCTAAGAAGAACTGAGCATCTATTTATACATACATTCATTCATTGTTTGCTGTGATGACCAATTTATCAAGAATATTGTGATTGTTTCTCTAAGAAGAACTGAGCATCTATTTATACATACATTCATTCATTGTTTGCTGTGATGACCAATTTATCAAGAATATTGTGATTGTTTCTCTAAGAAGAACTGAGCATTCAATGTTTAACCTTGAGCTTTGATTAGCTTTTTCTTATGTCCTATAATTCATGTTTTCCTTCTCAATTGTTGCAGCCTGACCGCCAAGTACTTATGTGGTCTGCTACCTGGCCCCAGGAAATCAGGAATCTTGCCAACACATTCCTTGGTGACTTCGCCCAGGTCAACATTGGCTCTCTCGAACTGAGTGCCAACAAGAATATTCTTCAGATTGTTGATGTTTGCCGTGAAGATGAAAAAGAAAAGAAGTAGGTTCTCAGTGCACATGTTTCTTAAAGAAGTCTTGTAGAAGGACAAATTCTAATTAATTTCCTTCCTTAGATTGTACGCTCTCTTGCAAGAAATTGGTCAGGAAAATGAGAAGAAGACCATTATCTTTGCCATGACCAAGAGGAAAGTAGACAATCTGTCCAGAATCATCAGCCGTGCTGGATGGAGATCTGGTGCCATTCATGGTGACAAATCTCAAGCTGACAGAGATGCTGTATTAAGAAGTAGGTTGATTACTTTTTCTGTGGTTCTGTTTCATTTGAGTTAATGTTGCAGCAGTTATTAACATGGTTAATTATCCCTTCTCAGGTTTCCGTTCTGGAAAGATTGACATCTTGGTTGCAACTGACGTTGCTGCCCGTGGTCTTGGTGAGTATTTGGCTATTTTTGAGTGGGGTGGCCGGAGAGCGCTACCCCTAGAAGGATCCAGACTGATATTGTAGGATCGGGCACCCAAGTGTGGCTCATGGCAGTTGGAACTACATATTTGGATTTCGCCGGGCTATGATCAGGGATGAATGTGTGCCTCGGCCATGACGGAATACATGGTGGTTGCTTGGTTATTTCACCCTCAGGGTTGTAGGAACACCATTTAAAGTGTGTGGTGAGAGGTGGACAGTTTTATTTGGTGTTGTCACTATTGACACCGTGCCAGATGTTCTTCTGTGGCTTGTTGGTTCTCAATATTTTCAATACTCTAACTTAAACTTGAGAACACGACTATCTATAGGTGGACTTTCTTCAGTGCACTGAGTTCCTACACCTTTGTGTTTCATGCCTTGGCTATTTGGCTATCTAATGCCTCAGGTTGAGTTAGAACAAAACATACATTCCCTGATGCAATAACTTCTTACATGCTTAAACATCTTAAATTTATTCTGTTCTTAAGCCACATAATTTAACTTGGTTTTGATAACTATAAATGCAAGTTGATTTGGGTGTGTTTGCTGGCCTAATAGGTCGTCCTATTAATCAGTCTGGTTGTTTCCTATGTTTCAGAGGCACATGCGAGATGATTCCGAAGTTTTGGATACTAAACATCTTTCAGTGCCTCTGTTTGGCTCTTCCGTGTTGAGGAGCAGTGGAAATGCCATTTTCCCAGTGTGGTTGCTAGACTGCTATTGGTGGATGCATCAATTCGATGCGTCAGCTTGTCTTAATTTTGGTGTAAATGGCATTTCTAATGGGTTATTGGTCTGAGCATTCTATGTCAGTTGCTTAGTGGCAAATGACATTGTTAGTGGGCTGAGTTCCCGAGTGTTTTTATGTCCACTGGAGGCTGCTTGTAGTGGTGAGTATTGGCCATCTGTGATTTATTAGCCTGCCCATGCATGGGCTTGGTGAGCTATGGCCAATATTCTGACAGGTATGTTTTCTCTAGTGAGTCTGGGGCTGTTTGTGTCTGTTGCAATGATCATGGCTCACCAAAGCCTGTGCTTCAAGGCGCAGTGTCCCTCCTGTACTAGTTTGCCTTGTGGACTCAGCATCCATGCTCAGATCTGTGACCTTAATTAGGTTAGGCCTGGCTAGAATTTATTTCTAAACAAAACCTTGTCTTTGCAGATGTGGATGATGTTAAATTTGTGGTTAACTATGATTACCCAAGCAACTCAGAAGACTACATTCATCGCATTGGGCGTACTGGTAGGTCATCTAAGACTGGTACATCCTATGCCTTCTTCACTCAAGAAAACAGCAGACAAGCTCGTGACCTTGTCAATGTTCTGAAAGAAGCAAACCAAGTGGTCAGTGCCGAGCTTGAGGGCATGGCTTCCCGAGGTGGTGGTGGCGGTGGCTACAGAGGTAAGTTTAATCAATTATTACTTCTGATGAATTGAATATCATCCTTCATATCCTAACAATTTTCCTGTCTAGGTGGATATGGAAACCGCTATGGTACCTTCAAGGGAGGATTTGGAGGTGGCCGGGAGAACAGATTTGGAGGCGGTGGCGCTCGTAAATCTTTTGGTGAAAAGCGTGACTTTGGGAATAGCAATGGCTATGGTGAGAAGTCTCACAAAAAGTTCTCAGGTATCTATCTATATTTTTATGATTGTAAATCTATGCTTTTCTTTGACATACCTGGAGTGACATTTTTGATTTTCTTTCAGATTATTCATGAACATCTTTAAATTTAAATTAATCCTACCGGGCAAGACTGGCCCTGGATCAACAGGGTTAGATAAGCACTTTTCCTCTCTTCGCTCTGCAAGAGTGACATCTGATAGCTGCATAGCTGTATCAGCACTATTAGTATATTGGTGGAGTTATGTTCTTCAGACTTCAGTCATGCAAAGCTGTGATCTATTGTTTGTTATTGCTTTATGTTTTCTTTTAGTTTCTTACCATTCCAAAGATTTTTTTTGGATTTCTTAGTATTTATTGTGGCTAGATGGAGCCTAATTACACTCTAGGTTGTTTTGACATGATCTGTATTTACAAGTGAAAGATATTTACTTGTTATGCGTTATTGAGTGTACTTTTTTTTCTGAAGGTCTCACCGGACATGTATGGCAAAAGTTTGACTCATTCCTTTTATAGTAGAGAAAATAAAAGAATCAGTTGGTATCACCACAAATCTGATTGTTTTATGAAAAGGGAAACCAACTATGCAGTATTAACAATTTTTTCCGTTTTTGCTGCTTGGCAAATAAAACAAGTGTTCCCAAAAAAACTTGTGTTCTCTTTTACCTTTATTTGATGTGTACCTACCTCCAATGTGCAATCCAACGGTTGCTATGGTGACCTAACCATGGAGGCAAGACAGTCCATGCTGGATGTAGTGAAAAACTGCTTACTCTCTTCAGGACGGGTATGTTCTGCACACCTTGAAATGACATTTGCATTGTTCTGATGTCATTTCAGAAAATTCGTTTTTACACGAAGGCTATCTGACTGCATTTTCATTATCAGTAAATAATTGGGAGTCTGATGGAATTGATGTGAAACCTGGTTGTATCATTAACGAGGCATTTGGGGGAATTCCAGAGTACATACCTCCATCGCTTGCTGTATGTGGGTGAGCACGGGTTGGGAAGAGGCGGGCTGGAAGAGTTCATGAAGAATGTTGTGTCGGCACAAGGGGACCAGCTACGGGAGGAAGGATTGACTGGATTCCTGTTGGTGTACCAGGACCACTTCATACACTTAGTGGAAGTAAGTAGATCAGCAACACACAGGCACTTGATTTTGTAGACCTACAACAACTTCCACGGAGTGATCAGAGATGGCGCTGGAATCGCCACCAGGAAACATTTGCTCGGGAGGAACACTCGTCCTGAAATGCACTAGATAGGATCCTCGCGCTCGTGCGCGCGTCCTTTGTCAGGGGGAGCATTATGTCCAATGATTGTCTAGAGAGGACATAGGTGCTGACACCCATTGATTTATTTATCGCATCGGGCTTCATGTCTCGGTGCAATTTTTGGAAGCCCTCTTACTTTACAGGGGGCATACAATACTTGATTCAGTTTTGTCTGATAAGGGTTCGGAGAGCACACTCACGAGGCACCTCCAACGTGTGGTTGACCCTGGCGTCGAAGAGGCGCCTAAAATCAAGAGGGTGAAGGTCATCTTTGAGGCCACGCACATCAACAAAGTAAGTACAGCTTTCGCCTGGTGAATGTGCATGCGTTGCAGCCCAAGGGGCGCGCGGTTAAAACCTCCCAACCGCCACAGAGATGCCTGTCCTCGTGGACGTCTCGGTCCGCGTCGCCGCCCAAGCTGGCCGCTGTCCCCAAGGCCGGCGCGGCCGTGGCAGAGACGGCCCGACAGGTCGACGCCGTCCTGGGCAAGACGCTGCGCATGTTGGACGCGCTGAAGAAGCTGCCGCCCGGCGCGCCGCTCAGCGGCCCCATCGCGCTGCAGCTGCCCGAGCCGGAGCTGCTGGAGGCGCTGCTCGCCTCCCCGCTCGTCCGCGACGTGCGCGCCCTCCTGGAGGAGCAGCGCGTGCCGCCCAGGATCACGCTCTACGAGGGTGAGGGCGTGCTTCGGCATTCACCCCGATCCGATGGATCAGCCCTGTGCAGCGCAGGCCTATAACCAGGGCCCATGGCCGTTTCTTTTTGCAGACGTCGTCTGGCCGATGCAGTCAGACTTCGTCCCGTACGACCTGCTGAAGCAGCCCGCCGAGCAGCCCGAGGACGACGAGCCCCAGGACGAGTCTCAGGGCAAGGATGAAGAGGAGGCGGACGAGGCCGGGCGGAGTATGTCCCGGGAAGGCTCGGGAGACCAGCAGCGAGTCGAGGAGGAGGAGTTGGAGGAGGAGGGGGACGACTGAGGTTTGGTAAGTGGGTGCGCTTCCTCGGCTCTGAACCTCTGAATTTAAAACTGTTTATTCACACTCAAATTGGCGCCTCGAGCGCAGTCTAGGATGCTCGAGAGTCCATTCAATAAATAAATAAATAAATTAGAAATAAATAACGTCCTTGTCGTTGGCAGGTCGGGTAAATTTTGCAGTGGGGGAGGTCCATGTCGCCCATTGGTGCCGATCACAGTCCCATCATATCACAGAGGGCGTAGTACTTCCGCCTGGCGGCGACGGATTTGTCGAGGCACCCGTACAGGTCGTTCACCTTGAGGCAGTCGGTTTTGCTCATGGCTTCGCGCTGGCCCAGCTTGGCACCCTTCGTCTTCGGGGTGATGGTCGGCCTTCCCTTGCCGGAGCTGCGAACACGAAAGGCGGTTGAGTTAGAGTTCTATGAGTCGCGGCCCGTTGCCGCACTCCCCCGCGCACTGCCGATGCGCGCTCAGGCCTACCTGAAGAAGCTCTTGCCGTAGTGCATTATGCTATCGTAATCGTACTCGAACTTGTAGGTCGTGTTTTCCAGGCTCTGCTTGTCGAAGTTGTTTCGGAATTCTGTATAACAGCTCCAACAGTGAGGTGCAATAAGAAAACGCAATATATCCAAGTATTCGAAATAGTAACTGCGGTTTTAACGATATTATGGTACCGGGGATGACGTTCTCCATGTGCACGTCCACGAAGCGGTCCCTGTCCGCACGGCTCTGCTCGTGGAAGATGCCCAGCGCGTGCAGCAGCTCGTGGATGGCCCTGCCCTCCTTGCCGAGGCAGTTTGGCCCCCGGGCGTCCGGTGCCTGCAGCGAGACGATCTGGGCGCCGCCGAACTTGCCGACGTACGACCAGCACCTGGGAGGAGGTCAGAGGTTCAAACACCGGCTCGATATAATTTTTGTCTACTTTGCATACCAGCCCCCGACCCGCGTCGTCGGGTCCCTA